GTAGGTATTCAGTATTTTTCTTTTAAAGGAAAGCTCTCATTTCTCATTTGTACTACAGTTCCACATCTCCAAATCCCCTTAGTACATCTCTTCTTGGATGATTCACCATTATACTGAATTCAACATACCTAAAACTTGAAGTCACCTTTTCCCAAAAACCAACATAAGTTCATAAACCCATGCCAATTTCCTTATGATTTCAATCAGATAGTCGACAAGTCTGTTGGTTCTCCTTTCACAATATCTCTCTTTTATCAACTCTTTGTGCCCCACCACCATCAGTACCTCCTTTCCAGTACTCACAATATTGTGATTAGATTACTGCAACAGCCATTTAACAGGTTTCCCTGGTTATACTTTCCCCCCTTTCAATGCATTCTATATACTGATCTGATTCCAAAAAAAGGAAAAACATATTTTCATCATATATTTCCTGCTCAAAATTATCAAGGTCCTACAGTTTGTACAATCCAATATCCAACTGTGTCTGTCCTTTCTTTCTAGCCAGCTGAGCTACACAGACTGCTTTCTCTACGAGCTTCCCAAAATTCCATGCTCAATCCCAACCACAAACTTTTGATTCCCATCTCTTTTGTTCTTTTCAAATCCTATTCACCCATCAATATTCAAATCAAATTCTGCTTTCTCCATTGGACCCTTCTTAACTGAATTAGGTCCTAATTAACTTCCCCCACTCTAAACTATTACAGCACTTCTGCTGTAACATTTATCTTGCCTCAACCATACATAGTTTTGGGTTGATAGTTAATTGCTTCCTGTTTTGTTTTCTCTTTTCTTCAATTAGACTATAATCTCCTGTTCAACTGAGACTATGTGTTACATTTCTTTTTTATTCCCCTAGGTGCCTAGCTCAGGGCTCAGTAAATGCTTCTGAATGGGTGAAAAATTAATTAAAATGAGAAACAAGTTTTTTAATTCTTATTGTTATTCTTAAAAATTAAATCTCAGAAAGAACTTTTTGAAGCAAAGAAACTAATTACTTTTTCTAACTCAGGAAACAGCAAAAAGATAATTCTGAACAATTTTAATAGAAACAGAGTAGAAATCAGAATGGTGAAAGTGGGAACTTGCTAGATACTCCTGAACTAGGTTTTCAGTATGGTTGTTGAAGTTTTATTAAGTAATGTTCACTCTGTGAACACCTAACAGAGCAATATTAAAATATAAGAACAAAAACATTCTAAGGGCAAAAAATAAATATTCGTAGGTTATCTATATATACTGCTCTTCCATGACCATAATACAAATGATTGAAAGTCAACTTTACTTCTTTTTGGATTTAAAAACTGTCTTAGCAATAATTCTCTTGATAGACACAGTTTGAGAGACAAATAGCCCCATGGCATTCTTCCTTCCAACACTAAGGCACAAGAAAGTGTCCTATTTTTTCTTTGCAACAAACATGTTTGGACTCTGAGTCCCAGCCCAGGCATTTCTGGTTTGGGTTTGATACTCATTTGTCCCTGTTGACAGATATAATAAGCATCTTGGATATAACTGTTATTTAGGTCAAAGGTATAAATCAGTAAGGTAGTCATGTCTGCATCATTATCAACTTGCTTCTCATAGGGCAAAGAGTTCATTACTCATTATAAGACTTAATTCTGATCCCCAGAGCTATTTGGTGGCAACTTTATTCTTTTATGCAGCTATATTCCTTCCCTTGGCAGTGCTCCCCTATTAGCATTGAATGCATACCTGTCGACTGTAATCCCAACTGCCTGTTACTAAAAATCTTATAATCATCTAGTGTTTCCCTAGCCAGCCCTATGTGTGCCATTTCACTAGCATCAGGTTGTCAGGGAGTCTTTCAGTAGAGTAATCCTATTGGTGGGGAACATGCAGCTCAAAAGAGAGAGAGCGAGCTCATTCAGACCATCATCTAGTTGTGTGGCAAGGAAGTTAACTCCAGGGCTGAGTCACTAGTCACTTCCATTCCAGAATCAATGGAGTGGTGGGCCTTACCATGCCCAGATACTGCCTATTTGGAAACACTGTGAATACAGCTTCTTGGATGGAGTCAACAGGGTTACATAAGTACTTATTGCAAGATGGATGACATGGTAACCTCTTACTTTTGAGAAAGTAATTCTTCTTCAAGAGAAGGGGAAGAGAGCAGGGTACTTAATGTTTTGAAGAAATATAAAAGATAATTTAAGAAGATTAAAGAGATTTAATGCATTTTTTCTGGTCTCTATTGGGAAACCAGTAGGGGGTGATGTTGGATTGAACTTTAACTTTCTTGTTATAGAAATGAAGCTATGACTAAGTGACACTCAAACAGCCAGTATTTGATCAAAACAACTAAAAAATTCTTTGGGTAAAGGAAAAAATTGGCCAGCCTGGTGTGTTTGGGGGAGTCACGTTGAAAAAAGAAATAACTGAGAAACTGACATTTTTAGTTATTCAACTGGTTTGTGGAGACACACCCAGAGCCACTTGCCTCCTAGCCAGCTGCTGTTTGCTGTTTTAGTACTCTTTTTGAAGTAGTTAGGACCCCGGGTTTTTTGGCTTTATCAAATAGGTCCCTTGAATTTAGCTGGCAATAATCCCTCAACCTATGGAGCTTGGGACTCTGAAATAATTAATTTTAACTTGCTCATATATAAACCCTTAACTTCTATAAAAACATCCACAGTATCAATGATACCACTCCTTCTTTGAGAAGACAACTGTATGAACCATTATGACATTTGTGTGCTGCCAGCAGTACTTTCTTGGTTATTTACTGCTACTGTTAATCACAATGTGCCTTTATGTATATCCTGGTTGAGCAAAATAATCTGTTCATGCTAGTACAGAAAAATCATAAATTTTATATTTAAACAACACATAGGCCCTTAGCAGCTCTGGCTTTGGCAGTTACCAAGCAAGAGAGATCTTCCCAAATTTCAGCAATATACACAAACCAGTCCCTGATGATATATTGTGGGCTATATCACTGTGGGTGGTGCCTGTCCTCATCACTCATGTGCAGAAACAGGCTTGTACATTGGATCCAGTCTTAATCAATCTAGCCTATACAGCCATGATTGAGGAGGCAGCATGAAACTTAGAAGTTGCTGTCAGAATAAATTTTCTGACATCTGGGAAAGTCTTCAAAACGTATGGACATGGCTGAGGCCATGGACATAGTCATCCAGGAACTTCTGTAAGCATATGACTTTGCTTTAGAAGTGCAACTCAAGATGAAGTGAAATTGATCATGGAACTGCAATACTGATTTGGCACAGTACCCTGGACTGATGTAAGCTTGTAGAAGACTAAAATCATATTCTGGTCTGTACCAAGGAATCTCCACACACTTCACATAGAATATATAGAGCTGAGAGCAGAAGTTTTCAGATTTAGGCAGTGCTTTGTCCAGTGATCAGCTAGGAAGAAGAAAATGGAATGAATCATATACAGCAGGTGTTAATTAAGCACTGATTATACAAGGAAAGCATTAGGAGGGATACAAAGATGTATACACATGTGGGCTTTGCACTAAAGGAGCTAGTTATTGTGCTTTCCTGGAAGCTAAAAACTGTGACTTAAATATAGCATTAAACTGTACACCTGATTGAATGTCTGTTAAGTGTAGCATCTAACCTCATTTTGGATGTGAGGCTGAAGCATGTTACAGGTCTATTAAAAAAATCAATTTCACAATACCTCCCCGAGTAGTATCCATTGATTCTGGAATGGAAGTGACTAGTGACACAGCCCTGGAGTTAGCTTCCTTGCCACACAACTAAATGATGGTCTGAATGAGCTCGCTCTCTCTCTTTTGAGCTGCATGTTCCCCACCAGTAGGATTACTCTACTGAAAGGCTCCCTGACAACCTGATGCTAGTGAAATGGCACACATAGGGCTGGCTAGGGAAACACTAGATGATTATATAATTTTTAGTAATAGGACGCCCTTTTTTAGATGTTCTGGGTAACCATGAGTAAGTGAGGAAAACACCAATAACAGTACTGACATGTCAAATAAAGGAAAGTCATTGCGAGTAAACATAAAAAAAAAATATCTTCCAGTCTTTTGAACCATGTCTTCTTACCTAAATTGTACTGGGTATCTAAAAGAATTACCTTCTCAAATGTGTATGAGAAAAAGTCTTGGATTTTTATTTAAGACTGAACTTGAAGAAGGTCTTCATAGGATGACAGTTTTCAGGAAGGTCAATGATTCTGCTTCAGTTAATGAATGAGTTACCAAAGAATTATACTTAGATGCCAAAAAAATTGTTAGTCGGGGGAATCAGTGGGGGGGAAAGGAGAAACATCTGTAACAATTATAAATAAATTAATTTAAATAAAAGAATGAAAACAAAATAAAATAAAATTTTCCATAAAAAAATTGTTAGTCATAGTTACCCATGTAAAGCTTTTACCCCAGGTTGGGATCATTAGTCAGAAAATAATATATTAGTGTATATACACAGCTAGATGTACCCACCCAAAGGACAATTATAAATATATAGTAGGCACAAAATGTTGACAGAAGTCTTAAGTCACTTCTCATTGATTTTATAAATTTTATGTACAACAGTATTGAAATAGAGTTGTATGGGTGTATATGGAAAAGTCACTCTTTTGTCTCTTAAGTAGGATATGTAAACCTTGGGAGTTCAACCTCAGGCAGCAGCTGTGAGAGCTGTGAGAGGTTGCTTGAAGCCTTACTTCCTTCAGAGGAGGTCACATTTCAGCTGAAAGCACAGTAGTGGTTGCTGGTTTCTCCACCTCAACCCTCAAGTTAAATGAACACCTTTCTATTTCATGTTCTTTTATCTGAGGTGGTGTCTAGGTGCTACAGCCTTATTTGGGTCTGGTGGGGAAGGCCATACCCACCCCTCCCCTGGTAAAACAATAACTAAAGTTCTCAGGGATTTTGTTTAGGGTCTAGTTCATGTAGATGTGGGGTATTAATTACATTAATACTTTCTCATTGATTTTACCTGAAAGGATCCAAAGTCATGCCTCTCTTTCTTTTACAGCTTATCACATTCATGTCAGTCATAGCACCATGACAATTTTTCAAGCTCTGAAGGTTATGAAGTGCAGCTTCGAGAAAGGACAGATCTCAAGGTATAATATTCTTTTGTTTTGTGAATCAAACCACATGGAAAAAACCTGCTTTTAGAGAGGTCATGGTCTGCTGAAAGAGTTTACCTAAGGGGCTGAAACTCAGATATAACTTGGGCAGAATTTTCAGCACGATTTTTGGTTCCCAAAATGTTGCTCCCTTTTGCTTCAGTTTGCTTTTACTTAAAATATGGCTATGGTGAGTAAGATTGTTAGAATTCCTGCATTTTCCAGAGTGTGAATGGCATCTTTCTCTCCTATTTATTTATTTATTATTTATTTTTGGTACAGATGTTGCTCATTTTCCACCGTTGACACCCTCCTCACCCTCCCTCCCCGCCCTGTCCCCAGCTTTGTTGTACATGTCCATTGCTTATGTGTACATGCATGTAAGTTCTGTGGTTTATCTCTTCCCCCCATCTCCCCTTCTGGGGATTGTCTGTCTGTATCCCATTTCCACGTCTCTGGGACTACCGTGTTCTTCAGACTGTTATGTTCATTATATTCCACAAATAAGTGAGATCATACGATATTTGTCTTTCTCTGCTTGGCCTGTTTTGCTTAGGAAAAACTTTTCAGGTCACTCCATGTCATCTCAAAAGATAAGAGATCTTTCTTACAGCTGCATAGTACTCCATTGTGTATATGTACTACAGCTTTTAAAAAAATTATTTGTTTATTTTTGTTACAGATAATTCTCCTTTTCCCCCCACTGATTCCCCCCTCACCCTCCATTCCTGCCCTCTCCCCGGCTTTGTTGTCCATTGTACATGCATACATGCATATAAATTCTGTGGTTTATCTCTATCCCACTACCCCTCTTCTGAGGATTGTCTGTCTGTACCCCACTTCCATGTCTTTGGGACAACCCTATTCCTCAGACTGTTATGTTCATTATATTCCACAAATAAGTGAGATCATATGTTACTTGTATTTCTCTGTTTGGATTGTTTCTCTTAGGATAATACTCTCCAGGTCACACTAAATTGTCTCAAAAAATAAGAGATCTTTCTTTCTTACAGCTGCATAGTACTCCATTGTGTATATATACCGCAGCTTTTTTTATCTTTTCATCTACTGACGGACATTTGGGCTGTTTACAGATCTTAGCTATTGTAAATAGTGCTGCTACGAACATTGGGGTAGATATATTCTTTCTGATTGATGTTTCAGGCTTCTTAGGGTATATTCCTAGAAGTGGGATCACAGGGTCAAATGACAGTTCAATTTTTTATTTTTTGAGGTAACACCATATTGTTTTCCATAGTGGCTGCATCAGTCGGCATTCCCACCAGCAGTGTACTAGAGACCCCTTTTATCCACACCCTCACCAACACTTGTTGTTTGATGATTTGTTGATGGCGGCCACTCAGACAGGTGTGAGGTGATACCTCATTGTTGTTTGAATATGCATCTTTCTGATGATTAGTGATATTGAGCGTTTCTTCATATGTTTCTTAGCCATTTGTATGTCCTGTTTGGAGAAGTATCTATTTAGTTCCTCTGCCCATTTTTTAATTGGGTTCTTTGTTTTTCTTTTGTTGAGCTGTGTGAGCACTCTCTATATATTGGAAATTAACCCCTTATGTGATATATCATTGGCAATTATGCTCACCCATAGAGTGGGTTACCTTTCCATTTTGATGATTGTATCTTTTGCTGTGCAAAAGCTTTTGAGTTTGATGTAGTCCCATGTGTTCATTTTCTCCTTTTTTTCTGTTGCCTTAGGTGATGTATCAGTGAAAATTCTGCTGTGTATGATATTTGAAATATTTTTGCCTACATTGTCTTCTAAAATTTTTATGGATTCACACATCACATTTAAGTCTTTTATCCATTTTGGGTTTATTCTTGTGTATGGTGTAAGTTGATCGTCTAGTTTCATTTTTCTACATATAGCTATCCAATTTTCTCAACACCATTTATTAAAGAGGCTATCTTACTCCACTGTATGCTCTTGCCACCTTTGTCAAATATTAATTGAGCATATTGCCTTGGGTCCATGTCTGGGTTCTCTGGTCTGTTCCACTGGTCTATCTGCCTGTTCTTGTGCCAGTACCAGGCTGCTTTGATGAGAGTGGCTTTGTAGTATAACCTGAAATCGGGTAACGATATCCCTCCAACTTTGTTCTTCTTTTTCAAGATTGCTGTGGCTATTTGAGGTTTTTTTTTTCTTTTTTTCTTTTTTTTTTGTTCCATATGAACTTTTGAAGTATTTGTTCTAGTTCTGTGAAGTACATCATTGGTATTTTGATGGAAATTGCATTGAATCTATAGATTACTTCGGATAGTATGGACATTTTAATGATGTTAATTCATCCAATCCATGAACAAGGTATGTGTTTCCACTTTCTTATATCTTCCTCTATTTGTTTTTTCAATGACCCCTAGTTTTTTGAGAATAGCTCCTATATTTTTTGGTTAAGTTTATTTTTAGTTTTCTTTAATTTTTTGTTTGCCAAGATGGTAATTGAGATTGTTTTTTGGTTGCTCTTTCTGTGAGTGTATCATTGGTGTATAAGAATGCTGTTGATTTCTTGACATTAATTTTGTATTCTTTTACTTTGCCAAATTCATTTAATAAGTCTAGTAAATTTTTGATGGAGTGTTTGGGGTTATCTGCGTATAATATCATGTCATATGCGAATAATGACAGTTTCACTTCCTCCATTCCCATTTGGATCCCTTTTATTTTTTCTTCCTGTCTAATTGCTGTGTCTAAGACTTCCAATACTATGTTAAATAAGAGTGGTAAAAGTGGGCATTCTTGTCTTGTTTCTGTTCTTAAGGGAAATGCTTTTAATTTTTGCCTATTGAGTATGATGTTGGGTGTAGTTCTTTCATATATGGACTTTATTATGTCGAGATATGATGCCTCTATTCCCAGATTGCTGAGTGTTTTTATCAGAAATGGGTGCTGGATGGATTTTTTCAAATGCTTTTTCAGCATATATGGATATGATCATATAGTTTCTATCTTTCATTTTGTTTATGTGGTGTATCACATTTATTAATTTGCAAAAATTGTACCAGCCTTGCATCCCTTGGACGAATCCCACTTGGTCATGGTGAATAATTTTTTTTTATGTATTGCTGGATTATATTTGTTAGTATTTTGTTCAGGATTTTGGCATCTATGTTCATCAGGGATATTGGTCTGTAGTTTTTCTTCTTTGTAATGTATTTTTCTGTTTTTTTTTTTTTTTTTTTTCTTTTTCATTAGAATTATTTTGGCCTCATAAAACGATTTTGGAAGGCTTCCTTCTTGTTGAATATTTGGAAATAGTTTGAGAAGAATGGGTGTTAGTTCTTCTTTGAATGTCCGGTAAAATTTCCCCGTGAAGCCATCTGCGCCTGGGTTTTTGTTTGCTGGGAGAGTCTTGATTACATCTTCAATTTATTTTGTTGTTACTTGTCTGTTCAACTTTTCTGTTTTTTCCTGGTTCAGTTTTGGGAGACTATGTGTTTCTAGAAATTATTTCATTTTGCTTAGATTGTTGAATTTGTTGCCATATACTTGTTCATAATATTTGTTAACGATCCTTTGTATTTCTGTGGTGTCAGTTTTTTACCTATTTCATTTCTGATTCTGTGTATTAGTGTTCACTCTGTTTGTTTCATGGTTAATCTAGCTAAGGGTCCAACAATCTTTTTTATTTTTTCATACAACCAGGTCTTTGTTTCATTGATCCTTTGGATTGTTTTCTTGATCTCCATGTCATTTATGTCTATTCTGATCTTTACTATTTCCTTCCTTCTACTTGTTCTGGGGTTTTCTTTTTGTTTGCTTTCTAATTCTTTAAGTTGTGAGGTTAGATAGTGTATTAGAAATTTTTCTTGCTTCTTGAGGTAGGCCTGTAGTGCTATGAACTTGCCTGTTAAAACTGCTTTCGCTGCATCCCATATATTTTGTGTTGTGTGTTCATTTAAATTGGTTTCCAGGAAGTTTTTAATTTCTTCCTTGAACTCCATGGTAACCCATTCATTGTTCAATAACATGCTATTTAGCCTCCATGTTTTCAAATGTCTTTGCATGTTCTTGTTGGAATTGATTTCCAGATTCATGCTGTTGTTATCTGAGAAGATGTTTGATATGATTTCAATCTTCTTGAACTTGTAGAGACTTAATTTGTGCCCTAACATGTGGTCTGTCTTTGAGAATGTCCCATGTGCAGTTGAGAAGAATGTGAATTCTGTAATTTTTGGGTGTAGTTCTCTGTAGATATCTATTAAATGCATTTGATCTAGTGCTTCATTTAGAGTCTGTGTTTTCTTGCTAATATTTTTTGCCTAGAATATCTATCCAGTGAAGTCAGCGGGGTATTGAAGTTCCCTGCAATGACTGTATTGCTGTTGATTTCTCTTTTGAAGGCCTCCGGAAGATTTTTAATATATGTTGGTGCTCCTATAATGGGTGTATATATGTTTATCAAGGTTCTGTCTTCCAGTTGGATAGATCCTTTTAATATTATGCAGTGGCCTTCTTTGTCTCTAGTTATGACCTTCATTTTGAAATCTACTTTATCTGATGTGAATATTACTACCCTAGCTATTTTTTGCTTTCCATTTGCTTGAAAGATTTTTTCCAATCCCTCACTTTCAACCTATGTGAGTCTTTTGTTGTGAGGGGGGTCTTTTGTAAACAACATATATGTGAGTGATGCTTTCTTTTCCAGTCAGCTTCTCTGTGTCTTTTTATTGGAGCATTCAAACTATTCACATTTAAGGTGACAATTGATATGTACTTATTTATTGCCATTTTTATTTTGTGTGGTTCTATTCTTCTTTCTATTTCTTCTTCTAATTATAGCAGTCCTTTTAGCATATCTTGCAGTGTTGGTTTGGTGTCAATATATTCCCTTAGTCTTTTTTTTTTTTTTTTTTGGTCTGGAAAGCTCTTTATTTGACCTTTTGTTTTGAATTATAGCCTTGCTGGATACTATAGTCTTGGATTCAGATCCTTGTTTTTCTTGACCTTTATTACTTCATGCCCCTCCCTTCTG